TGCTTTGCTGTTTCTCTCTCAATCCATATTGCCAAACACCAAGCTATGAGAGCTGCTCCAAAAGTATTGCCTCCTATTTAATAATGTTAGCCCAGGACATCAGAGGCAGATATTGATGGAATGACAGCAGAGGTTGAACCCTTTGACCAATATTCAGCTACATTTTATTGCCGTGCAATAGATGGCACCAGAGCAACACTCTGACAAAGAGGCTTCTAATGTGGAAGTGTGTATGAAATAAAGGTGTTTCACTGAATTCTTCCATATGGAAGGAGTGCACCCAATGACATTCATCAGTACTTGCTGAATGTTTATGGAGACCAGTGAGGATTGAGCACAATGAGAGGTGAGTGGTACATTTCAGCAGTGGCAACAGAGACGTGAAATATAATCCACTTTTCAGAAGTCCATGCACAGCTGTCACACCACGAAATGAAGAGCATCTCAGTCAGCTCATCTTCACAAGTCTGCTTATGGTGGTGACTATGTTGAGAAATAGTGTTCTGTAGTTGAAAATTCACTCCATCCAATAGTGTTATTGTGCTCTTAGTAATGCTTCTGTTTCCATGGAAATATGCAGAGGTCACAGGTCACTACTTTTGGAGTGACCTATGTATCTTAATCACATTATGTGAAAGAAAAATTGTCACAAGAAAAAACTGGCAATGCTTAAAATTCTTTTGATATGAAAAGAGCTGGAAAATATAAATACTGTCCAAGTAATTAATGCATTTTAACTGCCTACAATGAAACAACTAATTGGGTCCTTTTCCTTCTTTTCTCTCATGAAGACTACAGAAATTGGACAAAAAGAAGGTAATTTTCTTGCTACGATTGTTGTCATCTACACTATTAAATGGAAACATTCACAATTTCGATTTATTGCAGTATATCAAAATAATCGCACTCTCAAATCTTTTATTAATCCACCATTAACTATTCTTCTCAATTTAATTCTCCATATATCCCTTAAGAAAGTTTTCTTACCAAAATGGTAAAAGCAAAGATTAAAATAAAACAGTAATTTAACAATTATTATTTATTTATTTTTAAGTTTATATATGAATGTTAATTGACTTTGTGAGCAACTTGACTATTAAATCAACTTTTTGACTTTGTAGAGCAGCTGTCTGGGAGAAACCTCATCTCCCTGTTATGAGCAGTGTTTTTGGAGATGTTTTTAGAGACTGCTATATAAAGCTGTGAACATTCTGGCACAGTCATTACAGAAATGAGTCAGTTGAGACTGACTCACTCAGATACATGGAACAGAACTGAGTGGATCTATCTTTTGAGTTTGGAATGCTCTTGTAATGTGCCTTTTACACCTATTAGTGTGTGTAGCAGGAGACAGTGGAGAGTGTCAAAAATAAGTCAAAATTATTGAGTTTTATAACCTCTGACATTTTTTTTTTCTTGCCAGGAAAGAGATTTAAATGAAAAAAATCTTGGGGAAGAGGGGAATGATAAACATAATGCCAAGCCCATGAAAGGGTTTTGTGAACATCTGTGTGTCTAAGGACAGAGAGCACAAACTTTTGTGCTTTTATCTTCTGTGATAGCATGAAGACTTGTTACGAGTGGAGGTGACTTCTATACTGTTAACTACACTCTCTCTTCATCTATAGGACTTCAATGGGGGGACGCAGAATCATCTAGATTAACTTTAGATTAACAAAGGATTTCCACAGGAGAGGGATCCCTCTTTCCACAGCTAGGTGAAAAACCCCAGTCTTCTTTGCCTCTTCCCTTTAATAAAAACAGAACAGCAACATGGATCCACACAGAGCTTTAATGTTACATAAGTCCGATAAAAAGGAGACTACATATACAACACTTCTTTAGACCCCTGAATTGTTTCTACTAATACATTTTATTCTGATTTTGTTGTGCATTCCTCAGCATGGTTTTTAGGCTTTGAGATACCCCTGACAAATATATAAAAGACAATACTCTTCTCTGACATCAAATTGTGTTTAGATTTTTGAGTTAGTAGGTAATGTACCAGTAAAAGAATAATTAATTCCTGAAGGACTGAACATAAAAGCAAGCATACATTTGTCTGAGAAAATGAAAAGTTTGACTAAAGAAGATGTTTATGAATTATCATACTATTATCTAACTGGATCAGTAACTTTTTCTCATGTTGTTTACTAAATTCCATGCAAATTAAAAAAGGGATGGGTCACACAGTTCCAGAAATAACTGACGATGGTTTAAATTTTTTTTTTTCCCATTAATTCAGGCTTTTGATAATGAGAAGGCACAATCATCATAATGTAAAATGCCATAGATTTAAAGGTTCACTGAGATCCTTATATCCTGCAGTATATTTCTGTAATGGCATTTCTTGTGACTAGATGTAACATTCCTCAAGGTGGATTGTGTAATAGTTTTGCAGAACACGGGAATGTCCTGTGAAATTTACCTGAGGTGATTCATAAGTATCTAGTAATAATTTTAGAATAGTAGTAATGAAATCTACTCAACAAGAATATTATATCAGCTACTGGAAGTCCAGTTGAAAGATATCTCAGATGTTGGAAATCCATTTTAAAGACTTCATTAGTCTGTATGTTGCAACTGTATGATGTAAAGTAAACTTCTGTATCTTTAAAGTACGATCAAACAAGAAATAAGAAACTAAGGTATAGAGAAATGCTACTTCTAACCTACCTAGAAACAAAGTTATATATATATATATATATATATATATATATATATATTTTTTTTTTTTTAAAGTTTCGTAGGTCAAAAGTATATTAATAGCTTCCCAACCGCATGCCTCTATGAACTCCTTCAAGTCAGAATTCTTACTGGAATATGAAGCAGAAGCATCACAGGAAAATATGATTACATGGCACTTTTTGTTCAGTCAGGAAAAGATACAACTGAAAACTTGACCCTCAAGTCATTTGTTGCAGGTTTGTGAACATTATTTATGAGTCCAAGAGTGGGGAGGGTGACAAGGCCTAAGGAGAGCATCCTGTCCATTTCCTTCTGTCATTAGCATAAAGCACTTTTAAAGAAATCAAGTCTGATGAAGGTAAATCTAGAAGTTCGTTATCTGCACTGCCACTGCCTCCTCTGCATTTAAAAATTTCTCCACCAAATGTCTCTGCCACTAATTCATAGGACTCATTTGCCTGATTGAATCTGGAGAATAACTCTTTTAAAACTCTTTCAAACTTCCTTTCAAATACAAGCTTTCCAAAAAACAGCTTTCCAACCCTTTGTCCCTCAGATTGTCTGACCAAGAGATCTTATCTATCAGTGTTTCGAACTTGAGGAAATCTCATCTTCTCAGTCATTTTGCTGCGTTCCATTTCTAAGAGAATTTCTGATTTTTTAGTGATTGATCACATTCTTCTGGTTTCCTTCTTCTTTCACTTTCTCTTAAATAGTATCCCCTTGTTACTGTAGCACTAAATTGTACACTTTACAATATGTAGTAGAGCAGAAGCCTGGAAGAATGTCTTCCAGCTATTCTTTTTATTGCAGGGCATGCATATTGTGAAAATGGACACTTCAGAGTAGTGGAAAACAAGGTTCTAACTGAAAACGGAACAGAATACCTGAATCACGTCGGTACACTAAATGTGCAAGCATATCACATATACAGGTTATTTATGATCACATGACATGATCACAGAACAAAACAATCAAGGACAACAAACACCAACATGGAGCACCAAGCACTTTGTCCTTCAAGAATGCAAGCTCCCAGAAAGCTGGGAAGCTTCTGCTGCATGACTCAAAACACTCTCTTTAAAGACAGATCATCTCAGTTCCTTCACCAGAACCATTCCTCTTACTATTACTTAGCCCTTGGAGCACCAGGCTGTTTCCCATGGTCTCTCTGTTTTTTATTTCTATTTTTCTGGTGAGAAAGGACTATTATATAATTCTTTTGTTTTTTACTTTTCACTACAATATTTTTTCACACTCTAAGTATTATTAAAGCTTAAAAATGTAATTTCAGGCTTGACATCAGTTTATCACATGAAGGCCACAATATTAACATACAAATAATCTATGGAGGTAGGAACTGGGTAATCTGATACCATCACAACCTTTATACATTGGACTTATATTTAGCTCAGCTTATTCCTGCAAGTTAGGTTGGTCACTGTAACTGCCTCATAACAATGCTTTCAGAAAGAAAAGATTTCATAACACTGTCTTAAACTCCTTGGGATGGTTATAACTCATCATGTGAATACGGCACTGCAAAAACTGAATATGATTTCTTCTCTCCTTGAACAATGAAAGTCATCTACAGATCACACAGGAACTGTCTGCCATTTCACATACTGTGAGAGATATATTAACTGTTCCTTAACCCTAAGATGATAACCTGTGAAACTTGCAGACACATCTTCACTGTTGAACAGTTCCTGTTCAACACTGAATATAACCATACAATTAAGCTTTCACTCATAACTAAGCAAAGCAATACTAGAATCATTTAAAAACAAACAAACAAACAAACAAAAAAAAAACCAACACAGAACAAAAACTTACATTCGGAACACCTTTAATTCCAAAAGAGTGACAAAAATTATGAACTATGATGCCTCTTTGTTGCCAAGCAGGATTGCATCAACAGTAATTCCAATGCAAAGACACTTATCTTGTTTTAAACATTAGCACCCAAAATAACCAGTCTTAAAAGGTCATGTTTATTTAAAAATAGCTTGCTTGCATTTTACATTCAAGTTAATTTACTAACCTCAAAAAAATTAAATGCAAATGTATACAAATAATTTAAGCATCCTGTCAAAGTTCACATACATACTGCTAACGCAATTAAGTACTCAAGGTCACAAGTAATTTTCCTTAACCATGAGCCATCACCACATGGATAATTCTATTAAATTTATTTTGAACTAAAATCTTTGAAGTCTCTCTTTAGCAATTTATATTCTTTTTAAAAAACAAACCTATAATTTCCTGTTTATAATGTGCTTTTCAGGCCATAACAAAGAAGCATACTGTACCTCTGGTGCTGATGGCTCTTGCCGATGTGGTTGTGCTGGCTGTTAAGGCTACAGTGGTTGTGACTGTTGCAGTGGTAAGGGAGGGGATGACAGTAGTGGGAAGCAAAGTGTTGAAAACATCTGGTGAGTGGAAAAAAAATATAAAATAAAATCATATCATGCAAACAAAGGAGAACCATAATAGTGGTTTAATTTGTAAATACAAGTATGTCAAAAAATGATTAAATTAAAACATGATTAACACAAATTATTACACGTACAACAGTGGTACCTTTAAATTCTTGACATTATATCACTCTCAATTTTTTATAGTCAGTGTGCTAGCAAACAGGATTTAAAATACTGTTAAAACAACCATGTTTCCATAGATCTGGAGAGTGAATGTTTAAGTGACAAGAATCCATTTCTTCACTGAGCCATTTTAAATGTCTCATACAGTAGAAACCATATACAGATGAAACATGCTGTGTCAGAGTGGGAGATGAAACAACAACACCATCATGCTAAAATAAACACACACATGTTAACGAGAAATGGCTGTATGTTAAAACACCCACTTTCAGACAGACTCAATGGACGGAAAAAGGGGAGAAAATGCTACTAACTATAAAAGCTGCTTTTTCCGGATTGCTTTTCTTCTTCCCACACACTTGTTTAAGACACAGTTGTCTGCTAAGATCTAGAGCAGAGTATATTTCAAAATCTTTACCCTAATTAGTAGGCAGTCATCTTGCAATCATCCTTAATACATACATGTTATCATCAATATATAGCTTAGAACTGAAAAATCAGAAAAGCCAATTATATTACTGTTGAAAAAGTAAGTACACAAGTCAGAGAAGATGCAAGGCCCAGATGACAGCATCCTGCAAAACCCTTCAGCTTCTGATCAAATACAGGTATGCCAAGCACAGGCAGCTGCCACTTCATTGCAGAGGAACCAGCAAACTGTTGCAAAATGTTCCTGTACAGAGCAGAACATAACCAGATGTACAGATAGAAAACACTTTGATTACACTGCCAAAAGCAATCAAGACCAGTATCACTTTGCTTATAAGGTGATTGCAGGTTTTAAAGAACAAACAAACAAAAGCCCTGAAGAGAAATACAGGAAAGCACTTCTGTGAGGAAGTAAAAAGCATCTGACAATTTTCAGATTATTTATACCACAGCTTTAAAAGGAAAGGACTAGTTTCTCATCAATTGATGGTAAGTAAGCCATTCCACACCGATTTCAGGAAGAAAACACAACCAATTCTGAAGGGTGCTATTCAATGCAATGCAGCAGAGGAGAACAAGCCTGACCCATGATCTATCTTCCCTTGCTGTGGAAGGAACTGCAATTGGTGTCTGAGTACCATCAATTCTGACTGAAATTAATGGAAGCTAAAGCAGCTCATCCCTTTACAGTACTGGGCCCAACAGAAGACATTTCAGAGACAGGGTTCATGAGTTCAGCACAGCATAATTATTCCCCTAAGACTTCAAATTATAATGTTTGCCTTATTTTCATGATGGATGACAGATTACTTTGCCACTTAAAAAGTTTTCTTGTCAGTTAATATCTATGAGTCACCTGTATTATTACTCTGTATTATTCTGGTTTGGATGAACACCAGCATTATCCCCTACAGAACCTGTACCTGTGGGATTTCCCTCCTGGAAACCTTCAGAAAATGGCATGAGATCTGTCTTTTGCTTGCTGTATACTGATATTTACATCTGTTTTGCGGTATGAAATATTAGAAACCAGAAAAATTAAAACAGGTTTTTCAAAAAAGACAGTGTAGCCACATTAATCATCAGGAAGAACTGCCACACTACCTGGAATGTGAATACCATGATAATTAAACAGAATGGAGTTGAACAATCATTAGAAATAAATTAACATTTTCCAAAAGATACGTCACATGTACTGATCTATGCAACTTCTTTTCATAAAGAGAAACTCCTTAGATAAGTATCTGTTAAAAATGAAATCAAACAAAGCAACAAAAATGCCTTCTTCATAAGGATAGTAAATCCTTGTTTAGTAGAAAAGCTTTACAAATCAGCCTCGTACATAGAAGTTAATTAATGTGATATATTTCCCATAATTATATTTCTTAAATATGTTACTTAACATTTTGCAATGGCAAGTCAGTTGCAACTGACAAATTATTGTTTTATGACAGTTTTTTGTTCTACAAACACACTGTCTACCTAGTTTGCCACACACCGGATTACATGAGTCCCTGGCGAATTTAGAAACTGACTGCTTTTCAGTTTCTATTCTAACTGAAACATTTCCAACAAGATTTATTATATTAAAAGAAAGCCAATGTAGGAAACTGAGACTGGTTAACAAGAACTAGAAGTTACAAGTATTTTAACACAGATATAGTAGGTTCATCTTTTCTGACCACTCCAAGAGCAACAAAAACTTATGTTGACTGAAGTCACTAACTCTGATGCAAAGCATCAATGTGGCAGCTTGTCAGAAACCTCAAAGAAAAACATTTCCTCAAAGGAAACATAAAAGCAAGGAATAGTACTGGCTTTTCTTCTTTCTTACCAGAGAAAGGAGAAATTCACTATGCAAACGACTGCAGCCGATTTGCTTTGTTCGTAGCATTACAGCTACTTGCTCTCAATAACCAAAGAACAAGACAGGAACCAAAATCAGCCAGACTAGCCCAAAGAAATGTAAGTTTAATGGTATCTATCCTTTAACAATGAGTGTGTCATGGGAAAGTATGCATAAAGTGAGAAAATAGCTAACTGCCTTACCATCAACAGATTTTGGAACTCTTGCATCACTTTCTGTCCTTAAATCTATTTGGGGCAGCCTAAGCCTAGATAAAAATTTGCATTCTAAATAGCGCTTGAGTACCACACTCACATAATATCCTTATTTGGGCCTAACAGTCCTACTGAGTCGCTGTGACAGAAAGAATCTTTTTCAGTTTTTCTAGGAAGATTTATGGGTTCCTGAAAAAACCCTAATGTCTTTGCCTTGAAAATGTGTTATTTGTTTTTGTTCTTTTTTGCTTTTTGCTTGTTTGTTTCTTGCATGAGAGAATGCAGAACACAGGCCTCAAAAGAAAGAATAATAATCTGCAACAGCCTTCATTTTCTCCTTGTTTACCGAATACGTGGGAAGTAAGTGAGTTTGGTAGCCCCAAGAATCAGATAGACTGCAAATATAAACTGTAAAAGAGTTACATATAAACAAAAGTTTTATATGAAACACAAACAGATCACAGGCTTCTGTTTATGGAATATGAATATCAGTATTTTAAATATCCATATAAATGTCAGAAAAAGGTATTACTATTTGACTATTTCTAGTTCTATATCTTTTTTGGCAGTATTTTCACTTTGGGGCGCGCTTACCATGCTTCCAGTGAAGCAGATCCCTGCGTTACCCCCATCTTTGTTTTTTAGCAGTTACTGAGAAACATACTACTAAAAGGGCTATATAGCTTTGATCTCTCCTTGAGCTCTCTGTCAAGAAGTATCTCAATGGATTTGCAAACTTCAGTCCAGCAAATGTGTGTTGCAGAGATATCTAATTCTATTTTCTGGCCTTGCAGTTTCTGAATCTGCTTGTACAGAATGTTCAGCCAAAAACAAATTTTTGTTTATGACTTTCATGCCCCTAAATACTGAAGATTGCTATGACCATGGGACCACGTAGAGTGGAAATTTTCAATTCAGGTGGCCGTACTCAAACCAATGCACCAGATTGCTGTATCCATAATACTTAAGTATTAATCCTCATCTTCCTTTGAAGCAGAAAATAGCCATATTTTGCAGGTGGGGAATCAAAGAGGACAGAAAAGCCATGTTAGATATATAAATCAAACAATAATTGCCACTGTTAGTTTAGAAATCTCACTACAATAAGGCGTGTTTAGTGTAACATATTCTATCAAAAATTCAGTAATGTAATAAACATGGTATTCCATCACCTTGCTATCTCTGAAATACAAACAATTCACTGAGAACTAAGTGTTTCCATAAAAGTTTCTGAAAACAGAAAAAGGATTAGGTATCATGCAGGAGAGAATAAGAGACTCTACACTCAATACTTTTTCATGAATATTCCCACAGGTTATGCACAAGGTTATGCATGAGACTGCAACTGGATTTTCAATGAAAAATGATTCAGTGGATGCAGAGAGAAGCATGGAAAATGTTTTAAGGGAGCTCTTCATGGAATGCTACAGTATGTTAGCATGACTTTAAGCCACACTAGCAGTGGCAAGGTGAAGGCAGACAGCAGGTAATCTGACTGCTGATTGTGAATGGAGAGTAAAGAAAGGAGGAGAATGTACTACTTGGCTTGTTCAGGAGGCTGCTCTTAAGGAGAGGCACAAATACAACCTGCTTATGAGTGTCAGAATGTTGCTGTACAAGACTAGCTCACAACACTGTCCAGACGTGCCCAGTCATAATTTTATGCTTGCCTCTCCTTTTCTCTTGTTAATCTAACAGAAGACATTCACCCATTTAAGTGCAAGGAGCCTGGACACTTTACTCTCACTGCAGATTTGGCTCTAAGCACTTTTACTCTCCATTTCTAAATAAATGAGAAATGGTTCTGTTTGGTTTGGTAGGCTTACACGAAACAGAGATCTGACCTATTGAGAATATCTGATTGGTTTGGGGGGAATAAAAAAAGAAAGAAAAACAAAAAACAAACAATAAGCTGAAATGACTGAGCACAATTCAGACAACAATGGCTGCAGTTGATAAAAATGTAAAGGTTTTTGTTTCAAGCTTGACAAAGTCTGACATAAAAATTAAAGGCCAGACTGATAATGATGGATGGCCTGTGCTGTATTTTTACAAAGAGCGAAAGAAGTTTTAAGTGCTAAACTGAACTGAGTGATGACCTACCTGGGAAACAACCTCACTACTCTGCACAAAATTTAATCAGCCTGTGGTATGTAGTACTAAATAATTTAGCAAGGTTTTAAATTCAAAGGGAGCTGCATTTAGAGTTGCTCCCAGAAAATGGGATCGAACAAAGAGATAATTCAGCCTGAATATCATGTGCCAATATCTCCTTAGCACTTTAGACTAAATGATCATGAAGCCTTGCAGACGTGAGGTCAAGGGGTTCTCTTTACTAA